GTTCGCTCCACAACAGGGCAAGCATTGTTAATTTTCCATTTTTAAATATTTCTGATAAATATTTCTTTTTTAACGAATCGATTCGTTGCCACCTTAACAAATCGACCCCTGTCCTCATAACGAAGTTTCAGAGGTGATTTGCGCATGCGCGGGGGGTCCGCCATCTTAATGAATCGATTCGTTAATATTAACGAAATTTCGTAAATACTGAACTTTTTTAAAGGAAAGTTTTGTAATTATTTTAAATATCGAAACGCAAAAACCCCCCAAATACAAATCGATTTTAGAAACAAATTTTTGCGTTGTTACCCAGGCCTAGCAGCTAACACTCAGCCAGCTGCACCACAATCTAGGTCCAACTGTACATCAAGCATAACTATAAATTAATTTGCTTTATAATAGCATTTCAGATTATGCTTTACTTTGGTGCCCTTTTGTAATTCAAATCCAGATTATTTAGAAGTTCATTTCCGTTCTCCCAGGAATGTGTTGTTTATGAATAAGCATTCAATTCTACCATTTTGGGCATGTTCAAATGTAGACTGGAGCAACGCTTCATTTTCTGAAGGAAATGAAAATGTTTCATTTGCAAAGCTTGTACATGTGAAATAGTATTTTAAACTTCTTATTACACTTTGCAATGGGAATGAATCAGTCTGAATTCTTGGGAAAGGAGAGAATGATTACATTTTACATCTGCTGTCCCATGATGCATTTTGTCAATACTTTCATGCAGAAACCTGAACATCATTAAAAATGTGAGTGGCATAGCATTTATAATCTTAGCTCCATAACTAGGGAAACAAATCACTAATTATTATGAGCCAGCTCATTCATCACTAGCTAGAGTCCAGAGCTTGGAAACACTGCATTTTTGGATTACAACAATAAGAATTCCCCAATAGCATGCCCACTGTCCATGCTAGCTGAAGAATTTTCAGCAAGGCAATCCTCAAAAGTAACTTTTCTAAACTCTTGGCTGTAGTGCCACTCAGTTTACATTTTAATTTTCTGAAAAGGCCATTTGTGTTTACAGATACTTCTCTTTTTCTGTGTTCCCCCCTCCAAGTAGGAGGCATTTTGCAATTTTCCACGCCTCCTTAAAAAAATTGCTCATATGATTCAACATGAAAACAGAACTAGTTTCCCTTCCCTGAACTAGAGAGATTGACAAAAACATAATGTGAGAAATGGAAACCGAGAGAATCAATTGACTGGGAGAAATGTCCTCAGCTAGGAGAGAGGATGCCAAACACATCTAGGTTATACAAATCTGTCATTGTGTGAGAAGGAGTAGAGAGGAAAATAAAGAGTGAGGTAAGTTTGTTGTTTGTTGTTTGCTTGTTTCAGATATTCTCGATATTTAGAGACTTTTTTTAGGAGGAAGAAAGTAGTATATAATGAGCACTTGTTTTAAGTTAGTGCTTCTCAACCTGGTGGTCGGGACCCCTGGGGGGGGGGGGTTGTGAAGGGAGTGTCAGAGGTAGGCAAATAGGTGAGTGAGTGAGGGGGGGAGCAGGGGCAGGATGGTGAGTGAGCAGCGAGTGAGCAAGTGGGGTAGGCAAACAGGTGAGCAAATGAGGGCAGGATGGTGAGCAGGGGGCAGGCAAGTGGGTCAGCAAGGGGGCAGGCAAACAGGTGGGCGGGCAAGTGGGAGCAGGATGGTGAGTGAGCGGCGGGTGATGGTGCCAGGAGAGAGGGTGCTGCCTGCCCCTTCTGGCATGCGTGCTATAGGATTGCCACCACTGTCCTAGACAGATTTCAGGCTACAGAAAGTTGGTGGTGTAGCTTATAGAGAACATATAACTCCCTTCTACAATAGCTTCGCTGGATGCCAGTGTGTTTCCAGGTCAAATCCCAGGTTCTGCTTGTGATCCTCAAAATCAAGATCCAAGTTATCTGAATGCCCATATCTCTCTATATCAGCCTTCCTGAGTTCTAGGATCTTTTGGAGAGTTTTCAGAACGCCTGAGTTCCAAATATTGAACTGTGAATAGTCCTTGAATACTGGAGGTTTTGAGAACATTCTTGCAGTGGGAACAAAAAACAAAAACAAAACAGTAAATGTATTTTTTCTTCTTCTTATCAGAGTGTAACTTATGAAAATTTATAGCCTTACTTTTCTCTTAGTCCACTTTCCTCCCCATCTTGATTTCACAGGATGAGCAGCAAAAAGACATGATTGTTAGCTGGTCCCAAAAAGAAAGACTCTCTATTGTAAGAGTTTATGTTTGGAAGGGATGTTTTTTGGCTGCTCTTTCATGATTTGTCCCTCCTTGCCCCACCAACCATGTAAAGTTATAAAGAGATGAATTTTAAAGACCATGGCAGATGGACAGGGAAGTAAGGTGGAAAAAGTGTGCCATTGTTCCAGATGGCTATCTGACTTTTAAGGTGGTTTCAGGTTTGGATAGTACAGCATAACTATGACTTTAACAGATCTCATGTTGTGTAGTCTTGTTAATCCATGGACGCAAGCAAGTAAAATGGGCAAGATTTATTTCTGCATTGATGTATATGTTTAGGTCTTTACTCACATTGCATCAATGGTGAGCATGTGCCCTATGCATTTTAATATGTATATTCCAGATACTGTTGTGGAGATAAGAAATAAGAGATATATTATTAGAGAACCAATTGAAGTGCATATCCATTGGTGATTGGTGTCAGAACCCCCTTTGGACCTAAATGTACATGGATGCTTAAGTAATATGGTGTACCTTATATAAAATAGCAAAATCAAGGTTTGCTTTTGGGATTAAAATATTTTCAAGCTGTTGTATCTGGGGCTATTTATTCATACAGCGGATTGACAGTATCTTAAAAAAAAATCTTAAAGCACCTTTGATTCATCATTGGACCATGGGGTTGTCAAAATATTTTGATTTGATTCCTAGAATGTATCTCCATATTGATACAGCATCACTAACTAATTCTTATTCATTTCATTTGATAGACACATAGAGATTGAAAGTGTTACCTTTATTAGATGAAAACTCCTAGAATTCTGCTATCTGATTTAGCCTATGTATCTGAAGGAATTATTGCACATCATGAGTGCAGTCTTACGGTATGGCCATAATTTATGTGGGAGACAGAAAATTACACTGGAAGATCTGGTCATGTCACCTCATGTGATGTCAGGTTCAGTACTGAGTGTCTGTGGAATTCTCTCCTGTGGGAGCTGCAGAGGGAAGTTTCTCAGCCAAGAGATGTGGTGAGACCACACGCTCTTGAGGATTGATTCTAGCACAATAGAACAGTTTCTGTCTCTTTTAACTCTTTTCCATAAATGGTGAAAGGCTTCCTCAAAGCTGTTCTCTCAACAGTCATATGACTGATAAGTACAGAGCTGGTCTTTGCTATAACTAACCTTGTTGGAAAACATTATTTTAAAAGGAAATTTGGGACTAGGATAAAAAAAAATCTGTTTTATTATTTTCTTGATCCATATTTTGTTAAAGCTTAAGTTTAAAAACGAGCAGTCACCGACCAATCCCTCTCCAATGCCAGAAATACAACTTAATGGTGTAACATTAGAAAATGTTGACCATTTCCGCTACCTTGGCAGCCACCTCTCCACCAAAGTCAACATTGATACCGAAATACAACACCTACTGAGCTCTGCGAGTGAAGTGTTTTTCCAAATAAGCAGAGAGTGTTTGAGGACCGGGACATCCATAGGGATACCAAGGTGCTTGTCTATAAAGCTATTGTCCTCCCAACCCTGCTATATGCCTGTGAGACTTGGACAGTCTACAGACGTCACATGCAACTCCTGGAACAATTCCATCAACGCTGCCTCCGAAAAATCCTGCAAATCTCTTGGGAAGACAAGTGGACAAATGTTAGTGTGCTAGAAGAAGCAAAGACCACCAGCACTGAAGCAATGGTCCTCCGCCATCAACTCTGCTGGACCGGCCACATTGTCCAGATGCCTGACCACCGTCTCCCAAAGCAGTTGCTCTATTCCGAACTCAAGAATGGAAAACGGAATGTTGGAGGACAGGAAAAGAGATTTAAAGATGGGCTCAAAGCCAACCTTAAAAACTTTGGCATAGACACTGAGAAATGGGAAGCCCTGGCCCTTGAGCGCTCCAGTTGGAGGTGCAGAATTTGAAGAGGCACGAATGGAGGGTGAAAGAGAGAAACGTGCCAAGAGGAAGGCGCATCAAGCCAACCCCGACCAGGACCGCCTTCTACCTGGTAACTGATGCCCTCACTGCAGATCAAGAATAGGGCTCCACAGTCATCTACGAACCCACCGCCAGGCCACTACATTTATTCAAAATATGAAGCAATTAATAAAATGTTGCTGAACTCTTCATCAAACTATGCTGAAATGAAATTCTCATCCAACCTTACAGGGACACCTATAAAGTTTATGGAATATTTTTCAAAAAAGAGAGAAGTGTAGTTAAAACAGATTGAGTATCCCTCATGGAAAATGCTTGGGATCAGAATTATTTTGGATCTTGAAATACCATCATTTATATATTGAGTACATCATGAGATATCTTGGAGATTGGACTGAAGTCTAAACATGAAATGTGTTTATCTGCACTGTATAACTCAAAGGCAATTTTATAAACAATAGTCATATTAATGCGCATGAAATAATGTTTGTGTACATTGACCTATCAGAAAGCAAAGGTGTCAGTATCTCAGCCACCCAAGTGAACAATTTTAGATTTTAGAATACAATATTTTAGATTTCTGAATTTCACTTAAAGGAAGTTCTCCCATGGGCAACTTGTCTCTCTCTTCCAACAGTTTTAGTCCCTGACTTTTCTACCTGCTTGGATGCTTAGAGGTCTCAGGGTCCTCTGAAATGAAAAGTGATTTAGCAGCTGTTATACAACTTTTCCATGTTAGACACAAGGCCAGAAGGACAGGGTTTTCCGAAAGGGAAAACATTTTGAAATCATGGTGTTAGGTAATAGGAAGTATGAGAGTTACCCTTATTTTAAAACATGTTTACTCATACATTCCACAGGAGGCATTTGATAAACTGTAGCATTGGAAGAAACACCAGAAAGGCAATCATCAACGAACAGCATTCAATGTAAGGAGTTCTATCATAGGATAATTCTTCAAAGGGAAATTAAAGAAGAGATGATTATGAGGTCCTATTTTATTATCCTGGCTTTGAGCTTTATCTCTTCTATTGTTGAAGCTCAGGGTAAGTTTTTATTAGCCTCCTCATATTTTTGTCACTGCTTGTTCTCTTTCTTTTTCTTATCCTACACTCATGTTTTTCACTGTTTTGCTTGCCTGCTTTCCTCTGTTTTCTTGAATTTCACAAAGACCTTAAATTTTGCCCAATGGATAAAAGCACATTGTGTCACACCCTAATGTCACACCAATAAATTAAAATCAAAGTGGGGCTATACAGGAAAGTGATGGTTGAGTGGCTAATATTTGCACCCCATGGGACTCACATTGGCAGACACTTGAATCAACCCATGGTAGGGTCAATGTTCTGCAACTATAACCAATAAAAAGTATGGCCTTTTCTGTTCCAATAATTGGCTGTCAGTGTGCAGTCACATCCAAGCAGCTCTGAATGACTTCAGTGCTAACATGTGTTAACTTTCTATCAGCTTGGGGGATGCTGGTTTGCCTTCTTGTTTTAGTAAGGAACCCCAAGAGTCAGTGTCCATGCTATTACTTTCAAGAAATGGTAACATTTTATTAATTGGTCTTGGGCCTGTCTCCACCCAGGCACTATCTCGATTTTCCCACAACAAAATCCATACCAATAGAACAGCCCGGATTACGAATATGAATAGCTGGGTTTAATAGTGATGATTTGGTTAAATGTTTTTAAATGTTTTGATGTATTTTATAATCCTATTTAAATGTTAATTTTAATTTTTCATTGTTTTTAATGGCATCAAATAGCTGCCTATGTTGTAAAGCTGCCTTGAGTCCCCTCTGGGGTTGAGAAAGGCAGGGTAGAAATGTTGTATATAAATAAATAATTAAAACTTGAGGGTCACTGGTTGCCCTTGAAGTCACTGCTCGTGGATGATTCTGTAGATGAAGAACAGATGAAAGATACTCTTGCTCACTTTCTCTGGTCTCTGGGGTGCCAATGCCCAAGGTGATCAGGCAGGAGGCTGAGAGTGCAGGTCTCTCCTATTGTCAGCCCCTGGCAGACTTTAGAATAAAAGCTCACTCACAAAGGATGGTCCTTGGAAACAGCTTTATTATTCCTTCTTGCCAAGGAGAAAAGAAAGCTAGTTCTGACCATTTCCCAAACATTTCCCAAACTGACCAAACTGGCAGTATATCATCTAGCTGACCCATGACCTCCCTGCTATCTACTTGTAATGGCTACATTCAATTCTCAAATAACATAATACATTTCCGAGACTTCTCCCCCCCCCCCCCCAAGTCCAGATGGCTCTTGTCAGTACTCCCAAAACTGGCATGGAGTGGACGAAGCAGCTTTCGGTTTTATCTGATACAGACACATCCTGACACCTGTTGAGGACTGGCACCTTTCTAAAGGTGCTGGAAACTCCATAGGCTGTCACTGGTCTTGCTTCCCAGATTCATTGGTGGTAATAACCTCAATAATACTGGGGGAAATGGAAGGAAAAAGGAAGAGGGGCCGACCAAGGGCAAGATGGATGGATGATATCCTTGAAGTGAGCGGGGCATGTAGCGGGGGGCTTCAGCCCCCCCCCTGAAATTCTCAGGGTGGTCCACGAGAAGGCCTTACTGGTACATTATTTAAACTGTTATGTTTATTCATATCATGATCTGATCACCATGCTCAATATATCCCATATGCATGGGGGTATTGGGATAACGATACAAAAGGTTTGCTAGGGTAGATCCTCAGCCCCCCCCCAATCAAACTTACCCCCCCCCCCCCCATCAAACTCAGTTCCTCCCGAATCAAAATCCTGGCTACGGGCCTGATGGATGGTATCCTTGAAGTGACTGGCTTGACTCTGAAGGAACTGGGGGAGGTGACAGCCGACGGGGCGCTCTGGCATGGGATGGTCCATGAGGTCACGAAGAGTTGGAAGTGACTGAATGAATGAACAACAACAAATAACCTTAAACTAAAGATGGCTCCTTATCTCCAGACAAAGGGGCAGTCCAACTTACTCTTTCAAACCAGAAAGGATTTCCTTGAGCTCTACCCTCTTAAAAGTAACAGAAAATGGCTATTCTCAAGCTGAGGGTGAGACAGCCTAACAAAATGAGCTGGGAGCTATACAGCTCCATCATAGTCAGAGTTCTGAGAGGTGGAAACCCACAGATTTGTAATTGATCCCATAGCAATTATATAAGAGAAGGGCAAGTTATTTTGGCCACTTTTCTGATATAAATAGGAACTTCTCAGATCTGGTAAGAAAATAACATACACATATCTTGAATCTTGGATTCACTATATTATCTTGGGTTGATGTAGTGATAGATGGATGCTCAGTTCTCTTGTAATAATAATAATAATAATAATAATAATAATAATAATAATAATAACAACAACATTTCTTACCTGCCTCTCCTCATGACTTGAGATGGGTTACAACATAGTTAAAACACATAATCATTGTAAAGATTCTATAAATATACATATTAAAATGGGAGAAAAGCAGAATGCAAATTCCATAAATAAATAAATAAATACATTATTTTGAGAAAGAAAGGAGAGGGAAATTGATAGATAGTTATCAAGGTGAACGGTGAAATTCTTGTGGGTTAGAGACTGAAATAAAATTCTAAATTTCTTTATCAGCGCATAAGCCCTACTGAATATAGTGAGGTTTGTTTCTGTGTAAATATGCAAATAGTCGCTCAGTAAGGATACAACATAATGCACCTATATGTATGAGTCATTCACAGTGACCTTGGTGGTGCCTATTTTCTATTAAATATATGTAATATTTTGTCCAAGGCTGGAAAAACGTATTTTATTACAACCTCCATGATCCAGTGGCCATAATAGCTGGTAGATTCTGGGAGTTGTGATGCAAATGAATCTATATGCAAACACTGCTTTGGTCTGCTCATAGTTTATGGGCAGGGAAATGGTGTGGATATGATGGAATGCATACACACACCATGTTGACCATTAGGTAAATTTCAATTTTTTTTTTACTAACCAAGAAAGCAAAAAAACCTCTGCAACCTTAAAACCCACAGATTTCCTCAACAGGTAAAGATATGTATACATATCAGTGAAGAAAACAACCCACATCTTTATTGACTTCCCCAAAACAATCTTCAGAATTTTGAACTTGAGAAGGAGGGAAATATATATATTTATTCCATAACTCTGAACAAAAAGTGCTCATTCACTTTTAATTCCTTATCTCTTGTTGCTTTCCCTCCTTCCCACCTCCTTTCCCTCCTGCTGAAGAAATGCCAATTAAAATCCTCAGGAATATTTTGTTTCTTTTTCAGTAAGCTCACTGATGCAAACACTTAACTGCTCCACGGATTATGACTCATATACAGCCTGTACCTGGTTTGAACACCAGGAGGCAAGAAGACTTGTCAACATGAGCCTTCTCTATAAGGACAAAGATAAGTGAGTCCCTGAATTCTTATCTATTGGGGAATAACATGCAAAGGTGATGGAGAGAAAGGACTGGTCTTACCCTATGGCAGGGTGTACCAACCAGCTGATGTTGAGGAGAAGGCAGAGGTCTTGAACTACAGCTGATGCCCTGTATCTCATAAATCAGTCCACTGACTCCAAGTGTAGTAGAGGACACTGCTACTGTTGAAATAAAAAGCAAATCTCAGTCCAACCAGGCTCTGTCAAAGAAATTGGGAAAGGCAACATCTTATCATATGCTTCATGAAACGCAATATATTAGGCAGTGTGCTGAGAATGGTGGTCCTAAGGGAAAGGATACTTAGACAATTGTGCATAAGAAGGTCATAGGGGTTCCATAAATATTATGACTCAAACAAGAATAAATTTTTGAGGTAATTTTAATATAATAATTCCATGAAACCTGACATTATTTTAAGCAACACTGATCTAGATTAATGCATAATTTTATGATATCTAAAGCAGCTTCCTGAGAAAGGAATATAAGCTAGTTGACAGTGTGGTGGTGCTGCAATTTGACTCCCAGTTTTACTGGGAATGTAGAAAGTGAAAGGGAGAGGATGTTAGAAAATGCATTCCTCAGAAGCGAAGTAAAATATAGAATTCATCCATAGCACACCTGTGACATGTACCTGGTGAAAAATGTGTCATGCAACAGTTGCATGCTTAGTAAATGTTCATTAAGGGAGAGGCAGAAGAGCATGGACTTATGTGCATGCATAATCTTTCTTCTTTATGTTTGCAAACTTTGAAAAAGCACAGCTTGCAATCATGTGAAGGATACATTATACACGCACAGTATCAAAGACAGCTAATGGCCTTCATATCAGTGGGAGCCCCCGGTGGCACAGTGGGTTAAATCGCTGAGTTGCTAAACTTGTTGACCGAAAGGTCACAGGTTCAAATCTGGGGAGTGGCATGAGCTCCCGCTGTCAGCCCCAGCTTCTGCCAATCTAGCAGTTTGAAAACATGCAAATGTGAGTAGATCAATAGGTTCTGCTCCGGCGGGAAGGTAATGGCCATGCTGGCCACATGACCTTGGAGGTGTCTACGGACAATGCTGGCTCTTTGGCTTAGAAATGGAGATGAGCACCACCCCCCAGAGTCGGACATAACTGAACTCAATGTCAGGTGAAAACCTTTACCTTTTATCAGCGTAATGGTACACCCACGCTCTTTCCAGTTTGAGCTTTAAGGAGCTGTCTAAAGTGCTATTCTCCAATATGGATATGGCATCTTAGATAGTGCCTTTAAACTTCAGAGAAAAAGCTGGAGTGCATTCATTGCTCTTCTGAAACACCACCATGGTACATCTATATGAGATCATGACAGTTCATGATCCATTTCCACACATTTTATTGCAGTGAGTAGGAAAGAACTAGATTTCCTTTTTGGAATGGGGGAACATGAAGGCACAAGTTTCTTATGAAGGAGGAAATTGACAGTGACCACCTATCCTCCTTGGTTTTCTCCAGAAGATGATGTTCTTTATTTTGTCTGACTTCTACTTTTTCCCCTGAAAGAGGAACTGCACATTAGTCTGAAGAAAAAAGGAAGGAGTGTCACAGGAAAGACAAGAAAAGAGAATTCAAATCAACAAGAATAGAGACCCTTTGATTATTCCAATACATTTTAGTTCAAAATAATCACCCTCCATTTCTCACATCAATGATCATTTCTCCTGTTCTTCTGTACAACAGTATTTTTTCATAAGTGTTCTCCATAAATGTGAAAGAAGAGGAGTGGTTTCTATCCCCTGACCTTAACTTCAGTGTCAGCAAGACCACCAGCTCCACTCTCCATCTTATTCACAACTGGTGGAGATGTGCAATGAAGGGAAGCTAGAATGAAGAAAATGGATGGCACAATCCAAATTTCATTTTTCCTCTTCTGTCAATGCACAAGGGAGCAGTTATGAAAGGGCATACTTTAACACTGTGTTAAATATTCTTTTGCCCTGTTATTAAAAAGAACATAGTAATTTTGGGTTGCTGTGAGTTTTCCAAGCTGTATGGCCGTGTTCCAGAAGCATTCTTTCCTGACATTTTGCCCACATGTATTGCAGGCATCCTCAGAAGTTGTGAGGTCTGTTGGAAACTAGACAAGTGGGATTTATATATTCGTGGAATGTAGAGGAATTCCAATCGTGGTTAACCCCCAAGGCAACAACTATTCCTAAAATGTTTCTGTTAGTCAGGGAGCACTTGACACTATTCCCAGCCAGGCTCTTATTTGCTCTTTTTGTGACTAGATGGAAAGTGCCCTCTTCATTCTTTCTCAGGCAGAACATAGCCACTCTCAGGACTTTTTCATGCTACAAACTGCCATGGCTCTATCCTTGGGAATCATTGGACTTTGAGTCAAGAGACATTCAACTTCTATGCCACAGAATTCTAGTGTCTATTAGATTTAAAAACTCATGGCAGTCAAAGTGGAATCCGTGTGTTTTCACCTTTTCCGGCTCTGTTTTCACCTTTTCCGGAAGATCTTCAAATGCTAAATTTCTGTATGATGGACTGGAAGGCAAAAGGATGTCAGCACAGATGTTTCTGTAGAAATTTTACCTTTAGTGGATGTTGGGATCCCATAAACAAACATATAAACAAAGCGCCCTTTCCTACTTTTTCAGTGTAGGAGATACCATAAAGATTTTTTTTTTTACATATGAGCAACATATGTTTAATCTCAAGATAGTTTCCAGTTTAGGTGGCATACTCAGCCAGATTTAGTTAGTTTTAACCATAGAGCTCATTCAGATATCATGCACAGATTAGCTGTGCACTGTGGCTTTGGTGCCAGAACACCATGGATCTTCCCTACTTTAGTGTGCGTTCTTTAGGACAGAATTACTTCTTAATTAATAAATAAAACAAAGTTCTTATGATGCTTACAGGAAGCTTGAAAATGTGGCATGCAATTCTCAAAAAGTGGGCTCTCAAATACGGTGGGAATGTCACAGAAGCCAGGACATTATAATCTTTGGAATGAATAATACCTTCGTTTTCAAACCAGAGCTGTCACTGGATGTCCAACTGAATGTCAGCTTCTTCAATAATGGTTTGTATTTCCAAGAATGTGAAAAATTCCTCTACTCAGATCAGATCTTCCTTCCTTAGTCCAGTACAGAGAAATATGAGAGTTATCCAGAAAGTAAGGTTACAGGATTTTTTTAAAATACAGAGAATGAATATATTTTAATAAAACTTACATGGATTGTAGCATAGGCATTACATTTTCCCCCACATAATCACCATTCAGTTCAATACATTTTGTCATCCGTGGGATGGGTTTTTGATGCCTGTGTCATAGAAGCTTCCCTCTGCCTTTTTCAGCCAGTTCATTACTTCGATTGTCACCTCCTCCTTGTTGTCAGAAAAGTGTTTTCTACCAAGGTGTTCCTTCAATTTAATGAACAGATGAAAGTCACTAGGTGTGAAATCGGGCCTGTGAGAGGGGTGGCTAAAAACGTCCCAACCAAATGAAGTCAACAACTCTTGTGTTGCATGAGTGGTGTGTGGACGTGCATTGTCATGAAGAAGAAAGACTCCCACCATCAGCATCCCACAGCGTTTGTTTAGGATAGCTCTGCGAAGTTTCTTCATGGTCTCAAAATATATTCTGTACTCATTTTGTCACATGCTGTCTTGACATTACGTCCTCTCTATAAATGTTTCACAGTAAATCGCAGCAGCATTCGTGCCCTTAGCACTTAGGTAGCATGTTACAGCGTGAACTTAACACTTGGAGGAAAACGGAATGAGGATGCTCATCTCTAACCTTCACCACAACACCAGTCAATGAGCTACTGATGACTGGCACTGCTTGTTCACTTCTGCTGGCTTCCCGCTACACGGCAGTAATACCAACTTCCCTCGCAAAAATTTCCTGCAAGAGCTACATGCCTTATAACCTTACTTTCCGGATAACTCTATAATGACAGGGAGAGAGTGAATGACAGTAGCTTACATCATAGGCGGAGCTTGGGGGGGGGGGGAATCCTTTCTTGGACTACAGTTCCTCAAATACTGTATGGAGGATTTTGGGAATTGTAGCACAAGAAGAAGGAACCATCTCCCATCTCTGCTAGGACTGTTAAAAAGAAGAAGCAGAAGAAGATAGCAAATGACTTTCTGCATTGAAAATGGACAATAGCAAAATACTTGTAGGTCCAAACTATTAAGCCTAGAGCTTGGAAAAAGTTTATTTTGGGGCCACAGAACCAGCCAACAACTATAGGCAGTGGCCATGCTATATAGAGAATTCTAGGAGTTGTAGTAAAAAGTTAACCTTCTTCAGCTCCTGGCCAGATATAATTTTAAACAGACTAAAATGATTGCTATGGCAATAATATTTAAACAGGCCAAATTATTGCTATGACAAGAAAAATACTTAAAGCTCTGGGACTACAGACCTTATGGTCCTCACAGTCACAGCATAATTAAAACCAGCTTCATCCTCTCACTCAGAGAAACTTGAGCCTCTAGGAGTAGAAATTTGCAATTTGTTTGCCCTCTTTTCCTTACATTTCACATTGATCTTACCTTAGTAGAATAGAAACTGTCAGCTAGTCAAAACTTTTATTATCTGTTTTTCTTGAGATTTAATGAGTTTAATAACTCTGTAGATTATTTCCTTGATTTAGAATACTGTGCGAGTAAAGAGTGCTCCCATCTTGTAGCTCTACTGCAGTGGTTCTCAACCTGTGGGTCCCCAAATGTTTTGGCCCTCAACTCCCAGAAATCCCAACAGCTGGTAAACTGGCTGGGATTTCTGGGAGTTGTAGGCTAAAACACCTAGGAATCCACTGGTTGAGAACCACTTCTCTACTGAAGGATTTGGGCTTTCCCACACAACTAATGGTTAATCTGTGTTTTTCTTTGTTCACTGTCACAGTCCAGCCTTTGCCACCCTCAAAACTAGTGGTGAGCATCACAGAAGATGGTGACTCCTTTTTGCTATGGGAAGCAGGTGATGGAATCAACAGAAACCACTGGCTGGAGGATAGTTTGGACTTTGAAGTCATCTACAAAAGGTTTTGGGAATCTTGGGAGGTATCTGTTCTCATCTTTAAAGCTGCTTGACAGCATTTCTGTTTATGTCGAGCTGTTAATGATTATTAGTATCAGGTTGGCAGGTAAACTACATGCCAAAATTTCAGTACATTTAATAGTTGTGCAGAACAGGGGTCTTCAGCAGGTTTTGCTGACATGATAAACATCACCTTATGAAATTCCAAAATGGTAAAGGGCCTGGAAATCATGCTGAAGTTCAGGGAGTTGCGTATGCTTAATCTTGAGAAGAGAACACGATAATCTTGTCTAAATCTTTGAAAGGATGACATACTGAAGATGGAGCAAGCCTGTTTTCTACTGCTCCAGAGACCAGAAGGCAGAGCAATGGATTCAAATAACAGGAAAAGAAATTCAATCAAGTATCCAACACTGCGCAGGGGAGCTCAATTGCCATTCTTAAATATCTTAAGTCAAGAGGGGGTCACTTCACACCAGCAGCGCTCAAGCTGTTTGAAGCCAAGTCATTAGCCCAACTCTTGTATGGTGCTCACCTGGGCCCCTTCCCCAGTTTTGCCCCATTAGAGCTGGTTCAGTCAAAGTTTAAGAGATCGTCCTTGCAGGTCCCTAAATGTGTTTCTAATGCCACCCTGTGACTAGAGACAGGCTTTATGAGAGTGGAGGTCAGGGTGTGGGTGGCCATACTCAACCTCTGGCTCAGACTATCCTGTGCACCCTTTGGTCTTGCCCCACTAACCATGAAGGATGACTTCCAATCCACATGGAAGCAGGCGGTAGCATCAAAAATCTCCTCATTGGGATTTTCTCCAGGTCTACTACTCGCTATGGATTACAATCAAGCCAAAGCATTTATTAAACAACGTATCACAGACACAGAGCGACAACTAGATCTGGCCTCGGTTCCAACCTTCCTTATCAATGAAGACAGCAGATATCTTGCCTCCCCTATGGCATATTTAACAAATTTAGAGGTTCCCATTCATCGAAGGGCTTTCACCCTGGCTCGATGCCACGCTCTCCCATCAGCTGTACTCGAAGGCCGCTACCGGAAGATCCCTTTCCCAGAGAGACTCTGCCCCTGTGACTCGGGTCATGTAGAAACAATAGAACATGTGCTCCTTCAGTGCCCGTTCTACAGGGATATCCGTGCCAGGCTTATCTTACCTCTGATAGACAAGCACCCAGGCCATTCAGGACAATTTTATACCTCCATGCTACTTGCAGATAATAATTCAGCTACAACCTACAATGTTGCAACGTTCTGTGCAGCAGCATACAAAATCCGTCAGGGAATGACTAGTCCCAAAAGTTAACTGTGTGTCCAGTAATCTTCTCTGAATCTACAATTTGGTGATGGATCTGGGCATTGTATGTTTTTACGCTGTTTCCCCTCCCCTTTTGCTCCCTCACCCATATTGTGCTTCAGTAGTTATATTTATATTTTTAATGTACCAAACATACCAAGTTTGTATGAAAATGTGACTATTTCCTGTGCTGGTCAATGACCGAAATAAATGATTTGATTTGATTTGAAATTCAATCTAAGCATTAGGGGGAACTTCCTGATGGCAACAGTAGAAGAGGCTGCCTTGGAGTAGTGGAATCTTCTTCTCTGGAGATTTTTAAACAGAGACTGGGTGACCATCTATTGGAAGAACATTGACTGTGTATTCCTGGTAAAACAGAGTTAGACTGTATCGACCTTGTGGTTTCCCCCACTCTATTATTCTATCAAAGATATAGGAGCCCTATCACATATATCACCATATGGCAACCTTCTTCTCAAGCAAAACATTGTTCCAAAATTCTTTATAAGTCAACTTTTTGACAAGAAGCCTTGTTCCCCACAATTTACAAGAAGGAAAGCACGGTGTGACTGTTGTAAAGCTGGTTGGCATTGTGATTATGGCTTGATAAGAGGGTACACCATGCAGCATTGCAGCTTCCTCATACATTTTCCTAATCAGGGGTGAGCAGACAGGGGGCCATATTGGATGTTTTATCCCTGGATTCTTTGACAGGCTGCCACTACCAAGATTTTCTGGGAAGCATGAGAACTCAGTTTCTCCACCTCTTTAAGGTATCAGAATATGTATCAGAGTGCCTTTCTGAATCTAAGATCTCTCCAGAGTTGAAGGAGGAATAAGTCCTTCCCTTCTGGAAGAGTAAGGAAAGTCAGACAAATGGCTGGATCTCATGAAATGTGTAGTTTGGGGAGACATTAGAACTCCTTGGCTCCAGAATTCTATAGTATGTTTTCGTGTGGATTAAAGTGAAACCATAGTACTACAGTTGTGCCATGTAAAAGGAAGAAAAGCTTCTATCTCCTTTTTCATATTATATTTATGCTTTTTTCCCTTTATTAGCTTTTAAAAAAACCAAATGTCAACCTGTCCCTTTCTTCCTTCCTTTGCTAGGAATCTTCCTCTATTTTGGTCTCAAATGCCTCCCAATGCCTTCTCCAACACCTCATACCTGGGAACACCTATGTTGCTCGTGTTCGAAGCAAACCAGGTCGAACGAGCCAGCTTGTTGGCCATTATAGTGACTGGAGCTCTATGGTAACTTGGGATACCCCAGAAGGTAATCCTACAAAGAGCTGGTTATTTGATTGGAAGAAGACAAAGGCATGATAAAAAATTTAAGAACCTGTGGATACTGTTCTGTAATCCCAACTGCTAAAACCGCTAGATAGCAAAGTGATTCAACTATAGGTGGAAGATGTGATCTCTGCTTGCTCCGGCTGTTGATGAAATGCTCCTGCACAAACATTCTTCATTTCACTATTCTGCAATGTTCTATGAATAAGGCAGTATAACTTGTTCATGAATCGCACATCCTTCAATATTTCACAGACAAAACCTGTGTGATTAATTAACAAGAATGTTGGCAAGATGGCAAAATTTATTAATGAGGGAGAACATAAGCTAGGAGGGGTTGTAGCAGTTTATGCAGGAGTTTGTGCCTCCTCCTTTTCTCCCTGCTGATCTAATGGAGTGCAAGTTACTTTTGCACTTTGAACTCAGCTTGCTACAACTGAAGTAAGTTGAGAACAAAGTAGAGACATAAGATATTTTAAAGCATCTGTAGATATAGAATGATAGGGGCTGATCAGCACTATTCCTGATAAATCAGAACAGTTTGAGGGTGTCTAGGATGACTATAAAGCCTGGTTCCTGTGCAGTACAGCAGCTGCAGCAATGTGTATATGTGGCCTGTGTTCAGGGGCAAAAATGATCCTGGACTTGTTAAAGTTGTCAATCCATATGTGAAATGTATTGGAATTCTCTTCTTCAGCAAGTCTGATGTTAGCCAGATCCTCTTCATTTTTTCTCGATTCCTAATGCCACTTATTACCAATTCCTCTTTCATTTTCCACTACTGTGTTTATTTTTATCAGGCACTGTGTGGTCTCCAAACCATGCTGATTTCTGCTTTTCTCCATTAGGTAAGGCTGAAGCTCAGCCCAAGAACATCCATTGTCGATTTAAAGGCATCGATCAGCTCAAATGCAGCTGGGAGGTGAGGCAAGAGATTACCAGTTCTATTTTGTTTACCCTCTTCTACAAAGATAACACAACATCACAGTGAGTTGCTTTTTGACAAACATACCTCCACATCTGAACTTTTCTCTCATGGTTGAATGTCTGACCTCCTGATGTTAGATTCTTTGTTCTTCAGAGAGAAGGAATGCTCTCCAGTCCATGAAAAGGAGCTACCTCCCAGCCCTCTTAATAGTCCTAAGCATGTCTTGCAAAGCTGTGAAATCAGTGTCACCAGCCCAAATGGACAAAGTCAGTACTTTGTTACTGTTCGCCCAAAAGAAGAAAAGAGAACAGTGGAGTTGGCAAAGCAAAGTAAGACAAACAAGGTCACACTGTGGGTTTCTATACCTCTATTTTTTTTGTTTTGATATACTTGCTAGTGCACCATCATAAAAAGTAAACATAGGGATGAGGCAGATCATAGACCTATGCTCAACTGAATGCCAGATTTAGACAAGATGCATTAGACTTCCTGTCTGGGTTGCTGTAAGTTTTTGGGCTGTATGGCCATGTTCCAGAAGCATTCTCTCCTGACATTTCGCCTGCATCTATGGCAGGCATCCTCAGAGGTTGTGAGGCCTGTTGGAAACTAGGAAAATGGGGTTTATAAATCTGTGGAATGTCTAGGGTGGGTGAAAGAACTCTTGTCTGTTGGAGCTAGGTGTGAATATTTCAATTGGCCACCTTGATAAACATTTAATCGCCTAGCAGTTTCAAGGCGTGGTTTCTTACTGCCTGGGGGAATTTTTTTGTTGAAAGGTGATTA